ACTGTATGCTTTGCCCTATATATTTTATATGCTAAGATAAATGGAAGTGCCTAATAACCTTAGTCTCCATCACTGTTCCAAATTAGGCCAGTTCAACTCTGCTATGCACATCTATACGTATTGGAATATCTAAAAACGTCTTCTGAAATTCTTGTTTTTTCTGGGAATAAGCTCAGCATAATATCGAGGTGACTCGGAAGAAGCTTCTAGTCCCTTGAATCCTTCTTTCCGACAACTAAATTGAACCAAATTGATTCAAGTTCCATTGGTGAAGGTTTTAGCTCTAGACTAACATTCCGGATTCATAGATCCTTTGGGAGCCTTTAATAGGCCTGACCTAGGTCGAAACTTTAGTCTAATGTGGGATATATATATATGGGAATATATTCTTTTGGGGATAACTGAATGAGTAAAGCTCGTTGGCATAATCAACTCCATATACACATAGGTAGAACTTCATTACGATACACAGTTACCATAGACTGATTTCAAGTTTTCTATGCCACCACAACATCCTCAAAAAATGAGTATATGCAAAATTTATATTAATTGGTGTGACTATTGCAAATGCCCCACTTAACGTAAATAATTAGCAAGGATGTCTGTAGTCTATTTGGTAACCTAGTTAAAGTGCATCGATTAGAAGCCAGTAGGCATTGGAATCGGGTAAAGTGAACTTGATTTTTGAGAAAGCTTTAAAGCTTTATTTAGTATGATTATATTAATAATAATTCGCCTCTAATCTGGAGATCTGTTATTCTTGCTCTGTTTCCTACTCTCCTTATAGCTTCGCTGTCGGATCAGTTGGTTCGCCACTTCCTGATTGAGCGCAGCTCCCGAGGCCTCCAGATACGTGGTTATCACCAGGAGCCTATATTTCCTGGAATCGTTGAATTGGTCGCCTACCACTGCCGCTATCCTGTTGCTCTGCCAACAGTGCTCCGATTGCCAGGCTATGCACCGGCCCCATTACCCGCTGGATATGGGGAAGGAGTCGGGGATTACCCATGCGGATCAGATGCTGTCTTGCCAGTGCGAAGTCTAGGTGGGCAAAATGGCAGGCCCGGTTTCAGTACTGCTCCTGGCGAGCAGGCTGGAAAGCGTCTACATAAGAGCAAGACTCAGTTGGCTCCAGCTGGAGTAGGTCCTTCCAACGGTCCTCTAACCAGTCAAGTCACTATGCGACAGTCGGCAGCACACAGTGCCTTGCAGGCAGTACTTCCCCAGGGAGCAGGTGAGTAACGAGGACCGATAGTTGAATACTTAAATCACCATAAGAGACCCAGGGTCACAAAGTTTTTATTCAATAATTACTGATAGTCTCTAAACATACTTATACCAAAGATAAACTAATATTTATTCCTCCTAATGCAATGCACTTTTCCGGCCTTCATTGAATATTCGTTTGTACTCTCGAAACCATCTTTAATTGATTAATTTTATAAATTTTATAAAGAGGAAGGAAGCCTGTATATATTGCCATCAAAATATTACTGTCAGTTTAAATGAAATCGGATAATAACACTTCATTTTTATTATTTCCATTTCACTGACACGCCTACAGCCTTCAGAATGTTGCTGAAATTCTAGATTTTTATAAAAAAACGAAATTGTTCGACCATTCAGCTCACAAATTCCCGCCAGATCCCATGTTTTGTGTGACCGATTCTGCCGTAAAATAAAAATTTCAACAACGAATTTGACGTCTTTATTTTATATAACTTTTCCATCATCGAGACACTGCCACCTATTTTTCATGACCCCAGTTTAATGTCAATACCATGTTTTTAGACTACAGCGTGACCTTCTATCAAACCTTTTTATAACCCTGTCTTCCATCCCTTGTCAGGCGCCAAAGACGGTCTTAAACTCATTCTATTCTTGCCAATGTAGTTTAATAATGCCGATATACTTTTACCGTCACTACTTTATCGTATGCGCAAAATAAATCAATCATAAGCACCTTCAAGACGGAATTCTTCAACAGTCTTGACCACCATATGCATATATTTGATTTGCACAGTTCCCAAAGATATTGTTATTTTGCGTAATATAAGTTTTCGAATTCTAACAGAAAATATAAACAAGTGGTTAGGGCCATAGAAAATCAGTCGGCTGTTGGCAATTATCCGCATCCTTATCCCTGCCATTTTTTGTAGCCATAATATTCCTATGCATTTGAGTGATACTGACATTCCTTTTATCGGGGGGAGCGATCAAAATAATCTAATAAAAAAATACTATTAATATATTTTTATTATAAGTACATTCATTATATTAAACATTTTTTAGTACCTTTTAATAATTTATTACTGATAAAGGCACATGTTAAATACGAATTATAATAGTTAAATAGGCTTTGGTAAGAAGCGAATTTCTTAAATAAACAGAAAGTGTAGAATAAGTATTTTAAACATCACAAAAATTAGATCAGAAATTTGAACTAAAGAATGGCCCTGCACATGAGTACGGAAATAGTAATGAGTGAGAGATAGGTCAATTACTTAATATTTTAAGTCTATCTACGGGTAATGTCTATGGTGGGTTACCAACTGCGTAGGTGGTTCTGTCTGAGGCAAGCCGAAATAAATCGTTAAAAAAAAGGTACACGATAGTGAAAAAACTTGTATTTACCTTGAAG